TTGCTGTGAATTGATTATGTCTATTGCCATGCCCAGAGTTAAGGATTGTTGTTTTCTTGATTAAGAACCTATAGTGTGAAATTGTATGGAGTGAATAAAGCATCGAAAAGGGCAGAAGCGTGTAGACATTCTTTATTTCTCTCCCTCGACTGTGTAAGTCCCACCGTTTGCTATTGTGACAACACCTCACTTCTTGGGATACCAGGACACCAGCTGTGCCCCTCTCCTCCCTCCAGGGAGAAGTCTATGTGACCCCTTTTTAAATAAACCCTGCTTCATGTGCTTGCCTTGGTGTGCTTCACTAATGTTCAGATTTCATGTGAGGAAGCAGAACTTGTCACCAGTATAACTGGTGGTATCAATGTGACGTAAGGAAAATGAAAAATTTATTGTCATCAGTACAGTTCTTTTTGTTTGGAAGTTTCTAGAAAGCAAATAGGAAGCCAATAATCTGAGTTAAGACCGGGAGGGAACTAAGGACTGGGGTGAGGGGCAGGAAGACTCCCACTGCAATACCCCTCAGAACTTTCCTGCTGGTGTTGAGGGCCGCAGAGGTGCTACTTTGACCTGAGGATCACTCAGGGGAAGAGGCAGGTCCAACAGGGTTGTCCTGGTATCCCCTCTTCTGTCTGGAGCCAGGAGGTGAAAGTTCCCATGTAAAAGATACGGAAAATGACAAACCTCCAAACAGTGAGGCCTGGGAAAAGGGAGCAAAAAAGAAAGCCAGACATTGATAGCTTTCATCTACCCCCGAATAGATCCTCCCCAGGTGCTGGCTGAGGTGGGGAGAAGGTGTCTCTTCAAACCTGAAAGATAGTCTCTGGCAAGCATGAATCGTTCCCAAAGTAAATCCTCTCCAGATGCTGACCACGGGCCCCAACCCCCAAACTCAAATTCCTGAGTGCTCAAACTGACATTCGTGGATCTATAAAGCAGACCCCACATTCCTGAGTGCCCAGACTGATACACTCACCAACCTATATAAGCCTAGTCCCTCCTTCCTTCAGTGGCTCATTTCCAACAGGACAGTGGGTCCACCTGAACCACGACTTCAGTCCTGAATAAAGGGGTTCTGACTCATCGGTGGAGTTCGTGTCTGGCCGGGTCCTAACACTCCCTGTTCCCTGATGGACAGTCACCACGGCCACCTTGGCTGGGCCTAGGCTCCACCCCTTGCTTTGTGGCCTAAAACACGGCCTGTTTTGTTGTTGTATTCTAGATAGGTCAGCTTTGTGTGTCCAAGGGAGCTGTACAGCTGAGGCTGGTCTGGTTTTCTAGTCACCCCTGCTGGGTGGGCTGCGCACTGGGCGCACTGCCCTGGAAGGCAAAGTGCTGGCCTCCTTCCTGTAAGGTCAGGCAAGGCGGCAACCAAGAGGAGGCAGATTTTTAAAAGGCCGCTGAAGGAGGCTTGATTGAGACTCACTCCCGGGCAGACCAACAAAGTGGACAGGTCTGAGGAGGAACCTCGTGGGGGGCTCTACAGGACTGGAATTTTATGGGGCTTATGGCAGGAGGGGAAGGGCTTGGGACAGGAAGAATGATTTTTCGAGTCCCCTGTCCCACGGAGTTGGCAGGGGAACTGGCTGAGAGCCGGGCCTGGCCAGGAGGCCCCGCTGATGGACGGGCAGTTCCGTCAGTGCTGACTGATGTTTCTTTCACGGTGAGGGCTGCTTGGTGCTTTGTTCCTAAGTCACCGCCAGCGATCTGACAGTTCCCTTTTAAGCTGACCCGTAATATCCACCTTCAGGGAACTATTCTAACGACTAAATGCAGGAGTGTACACAAAGAGGTCAATGCCAAGTCAAAAGGACCTGCTCCACCATCGCGGCCTGGCCCGGGCCAGAGGCACCTGCTCGGTCCCAGGCCTTCCCTAGAGAAAGGCCATTTCTCCTTCACGCACCGGAGGCCTTTGCTCCTTCCATCGCCCCAGGGGTCTTTGCAAGTATTTGCCACAGCTCGCTCCAGCGCCGCCCGGAGGCGCCGCATTCCCGCCAGCAGGCGGCAGCACTGCGCACGCGCGCCGGAGAGGGCGGCGCTTCCGGGAGGCAGGCGCGGAACCCGGTGGATGCGGAGCGCGTTTCTGACCGGCGGCTAGCGCAACTGGACGGCTTCCGGGAGGCTCTTCCGTGTGTGCGGCGGCGCGGGCAAGATGGGCAAAGTGAGGGGGCTGCGAGCCCGTGTGCACCAGGCCGCAGTGCGGCCCAAGGGGGAGGCTGCGCCCGGCCCCGCGCCCCCCGTCCCGCGCCCGGAGGTGACCCTGCCGCCCGCCTCGGCCGGTGTCGCGGGGGCAAAGGTGAGGCGGCCCGGGAGGGTCCGGGGCGGGCGCCGCGCGTGCGGCGGGCCGGGCAGCCTCCGGCCCTGCGGGGCTCCGGGGAGCGCGGCCGCCGCCTCGGGCGGGCCCCGGGCTGGGCGGGCCCCGGCGTTGCCAGGCCCGTCCGCATCTCCCCCTCCGGAGGTGACCCGAAGGCCCCGTCCCCGGGCTCTCTGTTGGGTTGAGGTTCACGTGTTGACCTGGGAGCGCCTTTTCTGAGATCTTAGGTGCGGTCCCTTGGAGGGGTGAGTGCCGGGAGGGGAGGAGCAGGGAGGAGAAGGTCCGCTGAGCCTGGCCCCGGAGCAGAGGCCAGCTCCGGACGAGCTTCAGCAGCTTAGGGAGACCCTGTCTCAGAATTTAAAAGAAAAGAGGTCTGCGGACGAGGCTCGGTTGTGAGCATCCTTAGCTCCAGTCCTCCGGACCAAGATGACAACAAACATGTCGTGAGCGGCCGAGCGGCAGGACTGTGTTCTAGCCCGGAACCGCACCGTCCTACGTGACCCTTACTGGAGATTCCGGGACCTTTGAGGCCCCTCAGTCACCCCGCCGCCCGCCTGCGTCTTTCTCTAGATGCGCCTGTTCATACATGTGAAGTAGTACTGTAATGTACTGTGTGGCTTCTTTCTTTTTTTGGGTCGAGTGGTTTACTGGGGATTGAACTCAGGGGAACTCCACACCACCAGCCCTGTTTTTCGTATTTTTATTTAGAGCCAGGGTCTCATTGAGTTGCTTAGCGCCTTGTTTTTCCTGAGGCTTTGTGCCTTCTTTCATTTACGTGTTCCTGAGGTTCATCCTTGAAGCATTCTTTTGGTAGTGTTAATTTCTTTATTCTTTTTAGGACTAATAATATTCCACGTACAGGCATCCCAAACATGCTGCACTTTGTCCATTAGTAAGTTTATGCTGTTCTGGTTTCCAGTTTTTAGCTGCCGTGAATTACACTCCTGTGAACACTCATGTACAGATATTTCTGTGGACCTATGGAGGGTTGTATAGTAACTTTATATGACCTATGGAGAGTCATATAGTAACTTTAGCTCTTTCAAAAAATTGCCAGATTGTTTACTTCAGTGGTTTCCCCATTTCGGGTCCCCACTGGCTGTCCCCACGTCCTTAACCCTTGGTATCTTCTCTGTTAGAAATTTGCTGTATGTGAAGTGGTCTCTTGTCATCGTTTGATTTGGATTTCTCCAAGGGCTAATGGTGATGAAGTTTTCATGAATTTGTTGGCTATTTGTGGAACTTTGGAGAAGTATCTGTTTATAGTCTTTTACCTGATTTTAATTTGGATTGTTTGTCCTTTAGTTGTTGAGTTATAAGAATTCATTGAATGTTCTGGGTAATATATCCCTATTAGATAAGTTTGCAGATTTTCTTTTCCAATTCTCTCTCTCTCTCTCTCTTTTTTTTTTTTTTTCCCTCTGTTGATTCTATTCTTGGAAGCACAAAAGTTTCTAGTTTTCATGGAAGTTCAGAGGCTTTATTCTTTGTTGCTTCTGCTTTTGATTCATCTAAGAAACTGTTGCTTTAGCCAAGACACAGATTTACATCTATGACTTTATAATTTATGTTTCAGCTGTTAAACATTTTAGGTCTTTGGTCTAATTTAATTTCATGTGTGGTGTGAGGTTGGGTCCATTGAATCTCATTGTTAATTGTTTTCTTATTTTCCTTTTTGGATTATTCATGTGTAGAAATAGAGTTGAATTTTGCATATTGCTCTTGTATCTTGGAACCTTACTGAACTTGTTTATAATTTTTGTGGATTACTTAGGAATTTCTCTGTACAAGTTGTTCTCATCTATGAGAAGGTAGTTTTACTTTTTCCTTTCCAGTACAGATGCCTTTTATTTCTTTTACTTAATTGCTCTGGCTGGAACTCCAGGACATGCTTGTTACTGATCTGCGATGTTCTCTGTGGGTTTTCCATGGATGTTCTTAGTGGTTGATCTAAGGCTTACAACGGAGAAACAGGCTTCTGGTTTATACTAATTTCAGTGGCATGGTCTTTCCTCTGGTGGCTCTGCTCCTTCCACCCTCGTTGTGGTATTATTGTGGAAGGTGTGTCTGTGAGTGTCACAAGCCTAACTGTGAGTTATTGAATCACCCTTGTATTTACATGCCTGCCTTCCAGTGCTCCTGGTGTTGTTGTGGGTTTGAATTACTCTGTAACCATTTGCTTTCACCTTCAGAAACTTCTTAGCACTTCTTTTTTTGGGAAGGTGGGGGTACTGGGGGTTGAACTCAGGGGCACCCAACCACTGAGCCACATCCCTCCTATTTTGTATTTTATTTAGAGACAGGATCTCACTGAGTTGCTTAGCGCTTTAGTTGTTTGCAGAGGCTGGCTTTGAACTCACAACCCTCCTGCCTCAGCCTCCCCAGCCACTGGGATTACAGGTGTGCACCACCATGCCCGGCCTTCTTAGCACTTCTTACAAGGAACAGATTCTCTGAGCCATGGTTGATCTAGGGATGTCTTCATTTTGCTTGTGTTTCTGAAGGATAGTTTTTCTGGACATGTTCTTGGTTGACATTTTAATCTTTTAGCACTGGAATGTGTGATTCCAGGCTTCCTGGCCTCTGTTGTTTCTGACGAGGAGTTTGCTGTTAGAATCATGTATAAGATGTGTCTTTTTTCTTTTATTGTTTTCCATATTTTTATTTGCCTTTGTCTTTGCCTTTAAGCTTTTTGATTGTGATGTGTCTTGGTGTATCTCTTTGCATTGTTCTCTTTGGAGTTCATTTATCATACTTGGTGTTCATTGAAGTTAATTCTTTCCAAAGTCCAGTTCAGCAGGCTTTCAGTCTGTCTGTCTGTCTGGCTTTCTTTCTTGACAGTCCTGGGGATTGAACCCAGGGATGCTTTACCACTGAGCTACACTCTCAGCCCTTTATTTTTTATCTTGTGACAGGGTCTCGCTGAGGTGCCCAGTATAGGCTTGAGCTTGCATTCTGCTGCTCAGCTTCAGAGTCTGGATCACAGGGGTGCACCCCTGCTTCTGTTTTCCACCCTTATTTGGTTGAATATTTTTTCTGTCTGTCTCATCTCTCCTTCGAGGACTTGAGTCATATCTATGTTGATGTACATGGTGGTGTTTCATGCAGTTTCTGGGGCTTGGATCATGCTTTTCTGTATTGGGTGTATCATTCTTTGTGTATCATTTTGATGACGTCTGCTCGGTCATTTTGCTTGTTGTTCTGACTTGAACACGGGGAGCTCTATCTGTTCTCCCTGTCCGTGTGCAGCCTCTGATATTTTTTCTGTTTTGTATTTTGGCCAGGCCCTTGGGCTTAGTGTAAGCCCCCAGGTGTCAGAGATTCTTCTTCAGCCCTCTTGGCCTGCTGAGGTTCTGCCCTGGGCCCTGCATCTGTGGCTTGGAGATTGCTGTCACAGCTCAGGATGTTTACATTTTTGACCCTCCTGTGGCCGAGGACTGGTGGCCTGGGAATTCCCTCGGCTGATTGCCAGGAGGGTGCAGCCTGGGTGTGCTGAAGCCTCCGGTGTCCTGGTGGCCAGGAATGCTCATCCTGGCAGCTGCTCTGGGTCAGCAGGTGCTCTCTCAGGCTGTGCTCCAGTCCCTCTGCCATTGGGCCCCTGCTTTCTAGTGCCCCTGTCTGCTGTGACTGCAGCCTGGACCCTCTCTTGGCTGTGTCCAGAGGGCTCTTGGCGTCCCTGTCCCTGGCCTCTGTTAAACCTTGGCCCACTCTGTTTAGCTGGTGCTGCTGATCTCTGGGAGCCCGGAGGCCCTGTCCTCATCCTGCCAAGGTCTCTTTCCCTTCTTATGGTCTACCTCTTCCTGACAGGATCTCTGATGGGGCTTGAGGAGTAGGGCAGGAGCAGCATGAGTGTCTCTCAGGTGACACCCTGTCTCCTAGAGGGAAGTGGAAGGTGCTTTCTAGTCTCTCTTGGGCCTGCTGGTGAATTGGGCTGGGGCTGATCAGGACTGAGCAGCCTGCTTGGTGTGGAGCTTCTGTTCCAGGGTGGCCAGGGGTGGGAGCCTGGTTCTCTGGCCTGCCCTGCCTGGGCAGCATGGGACAGAGGAGGTAGGGGAGGGCACACTGGCACCTGCCCCTCCTTTCCACCGAGGTCCCAGCCCTAGATCCTGGGTCATTTCTGTGAGGTGAGGGTGGAGAGGGTTTGGCCAGAGGCCCTGTGAGGGGACAGTTTCCTGTGCTGAGATGGTTGCTGTGGGGAGTCTCTCTCACCCTACTGGCCTGTCCAGGCCACATCTCCCCTGTGGCTCTGGCTTTCCCCCTGTGCTAGCCAGGCTTGTGAGATTCTAGCAGCAGGTCAAATCCTGCTGGACACAAGATTAACCTCAGGGAGAAGGAAGTGACGCACATGAGTGAGTTGAGCAGGAAGCCGGAACATGACATGTGACGTCAGAGTGGGCCATGGAGCCTGAAAGTGTTTCTGAAAATGTTAGACACTGAGCCCAGTGAGAGGGAGGAGCGGTTACGACAGCACAGGGTACTGGGAGACTGAGTTGGGCGGGTCACTTGAGCCCAGGAGGCCACCTGTGCCACACAGTGAGAAAACAGCAGAAAGCAAAAAAAAAAAAAAAAAAAGGCATATTTGGAGGAAAAATTAACAAATAGAGCTTGGATATATGAAGAATGCAGTCATTGAACTTTAATGTGGAGTAGAGAGGGAAGCAGGATTATTAATTTCTACATTGATACTGTTTGCCTGTCCTTGAACAGCCAGACAGTATAAAGTCAGTATTCTATGTGTTAATCTCTGCAGCTGTGCAGTGATGAGATACAAAGTGGCACTCTGGGAAAGTGTCCCAGTGTGGGTACAGACCTGGGCATGTGGTGATCCCGAGGGCACCCACCAGGCCCTCCCCTCCCAGGGGCCGCTCCCTCTCGGGCAGCCCTCTGACCTCTCCTCCTCCCTTGCCAACTTCCTCCGACCCTTGGGAGAAGCGCAGGTAGCTGTGGTCCTGCCCTGCCCCTGCTTGGCGCTGGCTGGTTCTGCCTTGCCTCCCTCCTGTCTCTGTCTCTGCCAGGTGGGGAGGCAACATTGACCTTAGGGCTTTTTGGATGGGGCAATGTAAGACACAGGGACAGGAGAAAAGCATTCTGATTTGCTTAGAGCTAACACATGACATGGGAGCGCTGGTAAGGAAATAAAGATCCACAGGCAGAACCTAAGTGCTGTGTGCGTGTGCGCACGCCTATGTGCTGGGGTTGAGCTCAGGGCCTGCCAGATACTAAGCACATGTGCTCTGCCATCCAGCTGCACCTCCAGTGCTTCTCCCCAGTGCTGCTGCCCTTGGTTGGCCAGAGGCAGTTGTGAGAAGTGACTAGATCATGTGGGAGGCTAAAGGAAGCCGAGAACTGTTTCCACAGGCTCTGTCTGTACAGAGCTCCAACCTCAGCTTCCCATCCCTGATGGTACAGCACAGGGCACACATTTTCTGTTTGGGTTTCATCTCTTCTTCCACCTGCCATCATCTTCAGTGCCCTTAGCTTCTGCAAGAGGGGAACCCTCCCTGGGGGTTATGGTGCGTCCCTGTAGAGGTCATGGAGCTTGGGTCTTGAAGGAGCCAGGTGGCATGGGTCCCTCCCCCTTCAGTGTGCTGGAAGTGACTTGGAGGGCAGAATCTCCTGTGAAGTGGGAGTGAGGGGCTGGAGGGAGCTGGCTCCTTGGTGAGGCTTTGCCCACTGAAGTTGCCCCTTGCAGTGTAGTCGGGAGGCGTAGCAGGAGCAGAGACTGCCTGTGGACGGAGGCAAAGTGGTGGCCTGGCACAGCCTGCTCTGGGGACAGGTACACCCAGGTCCTCCCTGGCAGACAAGAGTGGGGACATGTTTCCTCTCAAACCATGGAGCCAGCCTGATGTCTTCTTTCTTTTTGGGGGGCTAGGACTGGGCGTTGATCCACACTGACGTCTTTGCCAAGACCCAGATAGACCCCAGTGCTTTGGTGCAGACACTGGAGCTGGACCAGACGAGCCTCGCCTCCCTCAGGAAAGGTGCGTGGCTGCCCCGGGAGGTGCAGGAGGGAGGGAGGGATCTGGGTGCCCTGTAGGTCACCCTTGGTACCCGTACCGTTGAAAGATCTGTCTGAAGAAGCTAAAGTACAACAGTGATGGGAAGCACACACGGCCGTTACCGCCTGCAGCAGACAGGTATGGAACTATCTTGAAGCGGTGCCAGACTCCATAGCATTTCATTCCTAAGCTCTTTAGTGTCTACTCTTAAGGGCTCTTAAAAGAAGATGAACTTAGATAAATAGGCAGTATAGTTCCTCAGTATTGCACACATATGACTACCGCTTCCTGAGTGTCTCACGCAAACTCCTTGTACAAGTCAAGTGCTGCTGTGGGCTGCACATTGCCTCCCTCCATCTCTGCTGTTCCTCTTGGCTGTTTTCATCATGTGGCAGCAGGCTGTTTTTATTGTCACATACCCCCTATTTTGGATTTTGCTAATTGCATTCTCCTGGTGTCTTTTGTTTCTGACCAAGCAGCCTTTTTAGCCCAAGCTTCTGTTTTGAGCTGTGGCTTGCAGGGTGGAGGGTGGCCTTGCACATTTGGGAGGTGAGGCACTGGGCCTGGGGCTACCCACCACCACGTGTTCTGGAGAGAAGCCTCTTAGATGCCTAAGTGGTGTTCTCTGCCCTGGGATAGCAGAGCCCTGAGACCGGCAGTGGATGTGACTGGAACACAGCCCCTCTGGGCAGGGTTGTTTGCCCTGGTCTTTTTTTAACCCTCCCATTGTGCACTTTAATCTTCAGTGTTTAGGTAGCTGTCATTTTTGTTTTCTACTCTGACAGTCATTTTTTAAAAATATTTTGTTAGTTATTGGTGGACCTTTGTTTATTTTAATGTGCTGCTGAGAATTGAACCCAGTGTCTCACATGTGCTAGGCAAGTGCTCTACCACTGAGTCCAGCCCCAGCCCCTGACAGTCATTCTTTGTGGTCTCCCAGCACTCCATGGAATCTGCACATAATTTTCTTACCTCTTTGCCGGGTTTCTGTTCTTGCGACTAAAAGGCTCAGGGGTCACTCCAGTTAAACTGGGCTAACTGGGCTGCACGAAATAACCACACAAGAGACACAAATACCTTTTTCTTTGGGGTCGCCGTGACGGCCTCTCTGACCTTAAGGGTCCGCAGAAAGAGAGAGAGCAAGAGCACGTGCTGACCCCTTTTATTGAGGAGAAGCTATTCAAATGAGGCAAGGGGTCAGGTTTCAGGGGGCTGAGTCTATCTTCATGATGTCCACTGTCAGCAGGTTGACTGACACCTGGGTAGGCCACACCCAAGGGCACAGTAAGAGAAGGGGACACACACAAGGCACTTCCATGGAAGATTCCATCCTAAACAGGGCAAGGGGTTATATTACAAAGGAACAGGTGAGCGTAGCTCAACCCATGGGGCTGTAGCAAGACACACCCATGCACTAGACACTGACCCTCGCACCCAAGAAGGGTAGGGAAAGCTCTGCCATATTCCTGCGACTGAGCGCCTCAGCACCCAGCCGGGGAGTGTGACTCAGTCACGTGTAAGGTTGGTCTCCCCACACCTCTTGCTGGGTGAGTACACACACAGTTCCTGGGATTTTCCTGTGAGTTTTTGAGGTCTGCATCTATTGCTTGTGGGCAGCTCTTGTAAGCTGTAACTGCACTCAGGTGGGGTTGCATGTCAGTGGATCTCCAGGGGTCTCACCTGTTTTGTTGCTTTGGGTCTTTAGGATTGCTTGGGGACAGGTGTTTGAGTCTCCTGCTGTCCTTTCTGTCTTGGCTTCCTCCTGTTACAGAGTCTTAGGGCACATTCCCTGGAGTGGACAGCAGCTGTTGGCTTTGCTTCTGGGCTGCATCCTGTCCCCGTGGTTCCCTGACTGTGTTGCTAACCCACTCCTGCGGGAGTTCTGGTGGGAGCTGCCCTGTGCCCCGGCCTGCAGTGTGAGCCAGGACTGCCTGAGGCTGGAGCCTAGGAGCTACGGTTGCTTCCATGACCTGTGTGTTCACTCATTCTCTGAAGGTTTGTCTGTGTTTGGGGCCACTTTGGTCAGTTTCCTTAGATTTGAATGAGTGCTTTATGTATTGTAGAGGCTAGCTCTTCATAGTTTTATGCAATTAACTTTTTGAGTGTTTAAATTTGCTGCAGAGAGTTGGCCACCTTGGCGGCCTGGTTGATTCTCTCCAGCAGCAGTTCCGGCCAGGTTTCTTTCCAGTCCCTTCCCTGTGTGTTGCTGCACTGTTTAAAGCAACCCCTTCCCAACTGTGAAACAGGCTTTGTTGTATGTCAGGTGGACGTGAAGTTCACTTTCATTCGGACCCCTCTGCTTATTCAGCCTCGGTTCTCTTATGCAGAGAGATGGTCTTCTCATTTCTGTGCCGGGTGCTCTGAGATCCACTGGGCTCTGGAATTCCTGCCCCTGTAGTGTGTCCCTCTCGAGCTATCCTACACATTGGGGTGCACCTGCCCAACATGGTGTCCCTGGTCCTGCCAGAAAGGTCCATGGGGCGTAGGAGGGCCACTGGGCAGGAGAGAAATGCCTCTATTTACAGCATGTTCTCTGTGGCTCTGCAGCACCCTCCTGGGTGGACAGTAAGGCTTGTGGCTGAGTGTGAGGGAAATGTAGCCCTGAGCTCCCTGGATTCACTGGGCTCAGGCTGACCAAGCTCCACTGAGTTCTGGTCATCCATGACAAGTGCGGGGCTCTCCGCCATCTGTGGTTTTCAGGTCCTTGGCTGCTGACAATACTGCGCTGGTCTGAACCATCTCAGTGAGTTTGGGACACCTGACTTGAAGAGGCCTGAGTGCCCACCTGCTGAGAGAATGGCTCTGTGCAGGCACCAGCATCACCAGGCACCCTTAGCATGCATAGCACCAGTCCTGCCTCAGGGCTCCCAACCTTGTTTTTCATACTCTTCAGGGACCCTGAGGTTGGGATTCTCCTCAGAGCCCCTCCCACCTCCCAGTCTCCTGGACAGATCCTGAGCCCCATGGAGTCCTCTGGATTTGTCTGAACTATGCACAACTGGGTCCTCCTGGTTCCCTGGTGGAGAGGTCCTTGCAGCCACCAAGGCTCATTACGTATCTAGGAAGTAGCAGCCCTGCCCTGCAGAGAGGGGGCGTGGGAACTTGCATTCGCTTGGGGTCACCTTGTCTTTCATACTGAATTGAGGTGTTTCAGACAGTTCTAGGTCACCATAGCTGAGACAGGTGGCATTGGCTTCCTAAGCCTGGAAGACAGCAACCACAAATGTCACTTTCCAGGAGTAAACCCAGAGAGGTACTTCCTTACTTTTCTAAGGACATCAGGGTGCAAAAGAGGCCCCCCTTTTATAAAAACGTTTTTTTTTTCTTAGTTGTTGTTGAAGCTTTATTTTATTTGTATGCAGTGCTGAGAATCCAGTCCTCACACATGCTAGGCAAGTGCTCTACCACTGAGCCACAACCCCAGCCCCAAAGGAGCCCTATCTACACCTATGACAGCCCTGGGGTGGGACTACAGGAACCCTTGAGCATGTCAGAGAGTGTCAGAGCAGTGACTGTGTTTTGGCATGGGATAGGAGCCTTGGGTATGGTTGAGGGGCTCAGGGCTGTGCTCCCCTCCAGCCAGTGGCTTTGGCTAGACACCTGATGATTCTTCCCTCTGTTGGGCTTCTCCTCTATTGGAGATGGTCATGGCATTTACCTCTTAAGTTCTGCTGATTATTGAGGCTAAGATGAGTTAATTGTTGTGAAGTGGTCCTTGCCATTGGCAAGCGGGCGGTGATCCTGTTCTGTGGATGAGACTGGCTAGTAGAGAGGAGAGGGCTTTGTGACTGCCCAGTGGGGCCAGGCCTAACTGTTGCTCACAACTCCTGTGATCAAGGGCACTGTCCACCCTCGGTCCTGTGGTCCATAAGGTGGTGACAGACCTGCCTCATAGCTGCTGGGGTTACCTGTGTATCCAGAAAGGCCCAGACACGGTCGGCAAATGCTGGTTCCCTGCTCCTCTGGGGAGGACCCAGGGAGGCAGACAACCAGGCCAGGTGGTTCCGGAGGAATCTGAATCCTTATGCTCACCTGAACTGTGTACTCACTGTGGACAGGTCACAAAAGCCTGTGGGTCCCGGAGCTTTGCTGCCACTGCACCCTGCCTGGCAGTGACCTCCTTCAACCCTGTCTGGTCTTCCCTGTCCTCTGCCTAGCTCCTGTGGCTCAGCTGGTTCCCCCATCTCCTCCATGGCAGAAGTGCTTTCGAGGGCTAGCTGACAGCCAGCCAGCCAAAGCCTTGGAGGTCATGCTGCACAGCGTCCTTTGGAGAGTGCATATATATAATGCCTTCAGTAAGGGTCAGGCGCTGCGTCCTCACAAGCTCTGCTAGTGTGGTCTGTGTCTGTGGCTCCCTTAGCCCATTCAGCGTGGGCGGCTGAACTAAGGTCACTCGTGTGAATTTGGGGTGACACAAAGTAAAACAGACATGAATCACCTTTACACAAACTTCAGGATGGCTTTCCCTGACTCTTGGCCTCAAGCTCCCCAAAAGGGAGAGCAAGAAAAAGTCACTAGAGGTTGACGAGAGAGAGACAGGGGCACATTCAGAAGTGAGCTTTTATTTGGGGGGGACACTATTCTTAGAAAAAGGGCAGAAGGGGTAGGATTACAAGGGAGCAGGTGAATGTAACTCAACCCTAGCTGGTATGCCTATACCTGAAGCCACGCCTTGCTATCTGAGCTGGGACAAGGCCTAAGTCACTACCAGAGCCCCCTGCATCAAGACTGGAAGGTGTTTGTTCAGAGGGGCTTCCCACACTGTAGCCCACCCTTGAGGGTTACAAGGGCTGGAGTTCTAGACTGGTATCCTGGTGTGGGGAGTGGGGCTCCGCATTCCTGAGGTCCTGATCCTGCCTGGGTGTCCGGGAGGATTCGGGGGAAGTTGCCCCTGACTGCAGTGCCACCCAGCCCAGCCACACTGGTCCTTGGGGGATCCTGAGATGCCTTTCAGGGCCTTTGTACAGTGCAGCTCATCTCCG